CGCCCAAGAGCGCTGGGCCCACACACAGCCTTGCCTCGAGGCTCATTTTCGGGACATGTACTGATGCGGATGAAACCACCCTGCTGCCAGCACTGCCCTTTGCCAAGGGTTTTGTGTGACGGGGAGTCCCAGTGTCTCCACACCATGTTCCAGCCAAATATTTCCCTCCTGTTGTGTGCAGGCATCACCCTGCCAGACAGTGGTGAGATCATTTCTCTTTGCCACTGGCATTTTCCACTCCTCCGCTTGTGTCTCTGCTTTCTCCCCGTGCCCCATGGGGCACATGGTGCACACAGGCTGCAATTGCAGCTCTTTTCTGGGTGTTGGTGTCCCCCCTGTGCAGAGCAGGAAGGGGGTCCCCACCACCCCCCAGCCCTCCCATCAAGCCTGTCCCTGCGCCCGCTGCTTGCCCAGTGCTCACCAGACCCTCAGCCCCTCTCCCAGCACCCTGCCTTCAGCAACAGGCAGGTACAGGGGCAAGGAGAAGCACATGGGAACAGGGTGAAAAGAGGGTTGTGCGGGCTCCCCTTTATCCCCCCCAGCAAACCTGGTGTTCTGGTTTCAGCTGGGATGGAGTTAATTTTCTTCCCAGCAGCTGGCACAGCGCTGTGGTTTGGATTCAGGATGAGCAAAATGTTGGTAACCCCCTGATGGCTCAGTAGGTGCTGAGCAGGGCTTACACCAGGCAAGGACTTTTCAGCTTCAGCTCCCTCTGCCATGGGCACAGGGAGCTGGGAGAGGGCATGGCCAGGACAGCCGACCCCAACTGGCCCCAGGGCTATTCCAGACCATAGGGCCTCATGCCCAGTATAGGAACTGGGGGGAGAAGAAGGAAGGGAGGGACATTTGGAGCAATGGCGTTTGTCTGCCCAAGTCACCGTTATGTGATGGAGCCCGGCTGTCCTGGGGATGGCTGAGCACCCGCCTGCCACGGGAAGCGGTGAATGAATCCCTTGGTTTGCTTTGCTTGAGCACATGGCTTTTGCTCTCCCCATTAAACTGCCTTTATCTCAGCCCAGAAGCTTTCTCACTTTTACTCTTCTGATTCTCTCCCCCATCCCACTGGGGAGGAGTGAGTGGCTGGGGGGGCTCGGTTGACAGCCAGGGTTAACCCATGACCCCTGGCCAGACACCATTGCATATTTAATGACACAGGATTTTTCTTCCCTGAGTGTTTCTGAGGGCTTCCTGGGGTGAGGTACCTTCTGGGCACTGGTGGCATCCTGCAGCAAGGAGCTTCCCTGCCTGCCCCTGTGCTCCCTCCCGCTTGCCGTGGTGGTTCCACTGGCAGCTCCTGGGCCGGGCACTGTGGAAGCATGCTGGCAAGATGGGCTGGTGCAGCAGAGATCAGCCCAGGCCCTCGGCTCCTACCCAGCTTCTGGGGAGAGCAGAGGGGTCCTGGGGCAAGGGAGGTGCTGGACTAGCCTTTGATGGAGCAGTTTGGAGCATCATGGCCAATGGTGCTTGCTGGTGATGTGAAACTATGGGAATAATCTCCCCAGGGGAAGGGTTGACTCCACCACATTGGACACTTTCAGGCCTCAGCTGGACAGGGTGCTGGGCCATCTTGTCTAGACTGGGCTCTTGCCCAGAAAGGTTGGACCAGATGATACTTGAGGTCCCTCCCAACCTGGGATTCTGGGATTCTTCACACTGTTCCAGATCTTAAATCTTTACCAGGTCTCCTTGCTCTCCCAGCTGTGCTGCTCAACTCTCCCTCGCCTGCTGAGGCCATGTCTCTGCTGGAGCTGGGTGACCAGACCTGGACCTCCACCCAGCTGAGAAGCTCAGATTTACATGGTGCCTGTCCTGCTCCCCAGTCCTCTCCTAACTTCTCCACATGCCGCCGTTGCCTTTGTGGGTGAGATGTTTTACCAGACATCTGTCAGCACAGTGAGTTCCTGGGAGATCTTCGTCCCTTTTTCTCTCCCTCAGCCACTCCTCTGTCCAAGTAAGGATCATAGAATCATAGAATGTTTTGGGTTGGAAGGGACCCCTAGAGGTCATCCAGTCCAACCCCCCCGCAGTGAGCAGGGACACTGCTAACTAGATCAGGTTGCTCAGAGCCCCGTCCAACCTGGTCTGGAATGTTTCCAGGAATGGGGCCTCCACTACCTCTCTGGGCAACCTGTTCCAGTGTTTTACCACCCTCATTGTAAGAATTTCTTCCTTCT